TATTACGATTAGTGGGAACCTTTGGGGGCAGAGAGGGGGTGGGGGGGGATTGTATCTCGATAATATCCTTCCATTGTTGGTATCAGGTCATCTTGTCAATGTCCATTATCGCTAGGGCCTTGAAATGAAGGATCAAGAGGGGTTGTGGTTCTGCGTCCACATCAAGAAACAGAGTAAGAAAAATAAAAATAAAGAAATTGGTTTGTATTGGAAGCAAAAGGCTCTTTTCCCACATGTTTCCCCCAAGTATCTTTCGATGCATCCAAAACCAAAGGACCTTGAACCTTCCACGTTCCCAATTGGAGCACGCCCCTTGTCTTTTAAAGGTACTACAACATCCCCCCTTTCTATATCATCCCCTCCCCCCTCATTTTTCCCTCTTCCCTTAAACCCTTCACTGTCTTCCTTATAAAAATCATTACGCGTGCTATAGCTATATAGAAAACCAAGCACGACTCTCTTCTTTTATACTTCAATTGATATTTTAAAAAGTTTAAATTATTCGTCCCACAGATGTAAAACAATAAGATGAATTATTCTACTAATATATATTTCAGACTGTAAATGAATTGATTGATGAACTTGTCAAGAATGACATTTTTCGTTAATCGAAATTGTGTCTCCTTGGTACCCATATTCATAGAATCCCTTGTTTTATAGGAGAGAAAGATTAAACCAGTACTCATCAATTTATTTTCTTTAGGTTCTCTGCTCCTATTGTCAAAAGTGTATAGTCTCCTGTTGGACTATAACTCTCTAGAAAAGCTTCTCTCAGGTTCAAAGAAATGCTAAAACCTCTCTGAAAATAAAAAAATTAAAGAATAGGACCAACTACTATTTGTTTCATAAATTTTGTTTTCAATTTTGGAGTAATTTAATGATGTTTCTTTATCATCCTGCGCAATGAACAATTGAGAAATATAACATGTTTTTCGGATTGTAAATAAATTGGCAGATGAACTTGTCAAAAATTTCGTCTTTTGTTAACGGAAGTTGTTCCTTGTCGGTATCCAGGATTTGCACAATCCCTTGTCTTTGGATTCTTTAGATTCTCTGCTCCTATTGTCAAAAAATGCATACTCTCCTATAAGGCTAGAACTCTCTGGAAAAGCTTCTCTCAGGTTCAAAGTAATGGTAAAACCACTCTCTGAAAATAAGAGGTTCCCCTTTTTCTTTTCAAACGTTTCTACGTATTACCAAGACCTAATTCCCAATGGGAAAAAAGCCAAGCTTTCCCCTAGATATTTTCTCCAAGGTTTCACTATTCTCGCGCCTAGCTTTCTCTCCCAATTAATGCATAGAAAAGCAAGCTTTCTTCTCTCCCCATATGCATGAGGTGTAGCCGGTGATATGAAGGAATGGATCAAACACTAACTATAAGGAAAACAGTCGATTGTCACACTTGGACGAAACCATGCATGTGCTATCTAGTTACACCAAATGGCTTAAAAGGAATCAATCCTCAAATCGACAATTATTATTTCACCCACTTCAGGTAACCCTGTCGACAAAATGCATTTCAATTTTCAATAAAGCTTTGTTTTTTCTTTTTATCTTTTTTTTCTCCTTGTCTAAGATGGGATTTCGTACCTTCCTTAGCCAATGCCATGCAAACAGATATTGTGCGTGGGGGGTTGATGAGAGAGACCTGGTTGTTAGAAGGGAACAAATCCAAAGGTCACATCCCCAATTAATATGTCTTTGATCACCTTTTGTTATTACCATGACGCTATGTCTTTGGTCTAGTAAGTACATGGTCTTAACATAAATTTTTTGTCTGCGTTTAGAGTCCCCTTTGATCTTTTTTTTTTATAATTTTATAATTTTACAGTCACGTACGTGTTTAGTTCGATATTTTATGTAAAATTATAAGTAAAATTTAAACTAAACATTAAGTGAGAACATGAGACTCCTATTTGCTTATTTTCTTTGTATGCAAGAACTCGAACAAGTCGACAAACCTATCTCCCACTTTTGATTGTTGAGGCTGGGAATTGGCATAGTGCCAAAGGAGAGTACTCTTCTTTCCACCGATTCCACGAATGGTTTTCAAAGTAGAAACCCCATTTCGTCTGTTTAGATAAATTCATGCGGGAAAAGTCATCAGAAGCCAATCAGCTTACAGATCCCATTATCTCAGTCTAAAAGCTCAAGCACCTATTCCATTATACTCTCTCACACACCAGAGTTGACATTTGGGGTACCATTCTTCCGTGACCCACAAATGTATGTTGGTTGCTTTGCTTGCACAATCTCTTTTAGGTCGGAAAGCACATATGCATGCTAGAGAAGCTAAATAAAAAATCTGGTAAAATCTACAAAGAAAACTGGTAATGCTAGGGTTAGTAAGAGTCCCAAGTTCAAAATCAAAGTTGAGAGAACGGTTAAAAAGAGATCGAGAAAATCGAAAAAGTTACTCGTCGTAATATTTTAACTTTAACCAATCCATTAATTAATGAACGAGTTTGTTCTTTTTTTTTTTTAATATTATTAAAGGATCGGACAAAGCTAAAGATTTTGACATTGTTGGGGTAATAATCCATGGTGGGGGACCCTTGAGTTTGACATTTCTTACTAGATATAGCACTTAATACCTTTTGGTTCACGTTAGTCAACTTGCTTTTCATCTATTTAAACCCTAATATGATGGAAAATCATAGTGGAGAGAATCTCTTTCACCTGGATTGTCCACATTTTCTGGTCTGTTCACAAACATATTGCAATTTCTACAGGCGGATCTTTGTGTGTCAAGAAGGCAAGATATTGTTGTGCTACAAGAATTTTGACCGTATCCCCCTGCTCCCTAGGACTATATATATATATATATATATATATATATATATATATATATATATATATATATGTGCATGTATGGAAACAGCTTTTGTTGTTTTCAAAACAGAGACAGTGGTACATAAAGTGGCTTAATTGCCTCCGTTTCTTTTTGGACTTCCTCATATTCCCTGATTGACAGTGGATTAAGGAAGGTTTTTTCTCAAGAAAAAGTCTCTTAGGGTCAATTCAGATTAATATTGTTGAAGGGAATCTTTTGGAACAATCGACTTTGATTCTTATTTTTCATTTTATTTTAATATTTTAATTTATCATATAATTTCACGTGATGAAATTTTAACGTAAAATCTTCGATTGATGAGGATATGTATCAATAATAGTATACAATGACACTATCTTTATTAATGAAATAATTAGTTAATTAGGTTTTAGAAAACGATTTCATGGGTCCAAAATTTTCTTTTGGAAGCATTATCCCAACAATATTAACGATTGTTTGTTGAAGCATTGCTTTCAAGAATATGTATATTTTAAGTGCTTCAAGGCTTCAGCAAATCAACCAAAGTAAAGGAAAAAGAAACAAAGGGGGGGTCAAAAGATCAATAAAGCCAATTGCTAATTATAGAGAGATAGGCAATCTCATTTGCATCTTTACATACATAGATGTGGTCTTCTAAACCAACTAAATACACTATAATATTATATGATGATGTTCGACCAAACATTCTCATTAATGAATATGTTTAATAAATCAAACAGATATATTAAATATCACAAAATGATACAAAAAGTTTGAGTAGAAACTAATCTTGCAATAAGCAACATCAAAGCATGCCACAAAAGCATGGTAGTGGCACAAAATCAGGCCTGGCAGTGAAGTTATCAAAAAAAGCCATGGTAATGAAGAATTAGTAAAAAGGAAAATGACCCTCATCAAGCTAAACATCCAATGCAAAAGTTTGGGAAGTCTACCAGATGAACATGGCTTATTGATGGAGAAATTGGAAAGTTTGTCATGTGAAAGAGGGCAACGTTGGGAACGGGAAACATGTGAGTGATTGGACATAAACCTACAGTCTTTTTAGGCACTTGGAGTGGAAATTTTTCCTTCACGTCATGGCGAAAACAGACAGTTTGCATTGGGGAATATGAACTGCTGAGGAGTGGATAAAAGCAGAATGAATTCAATCTACATATTCAGTCAGTTTTTCGAAATAAAAAATATTATAAAAAATAAGAATAGTAAGTGTTCAAAAAAAGTAGATATAATTTGGAAACGGACTAAAACCGGAAAGTGGATAAAGAATGCATTATTCCTCGCAGTATGATCGTGTGCTCACTTAAGCTGAATCACCCTTAAGCTTAATTTGAGCAGGAAGTTTAGGAGGTGATTACAGGAATAAGCCAAAAATAACTCATTGGGTCACCCATGAGGCCTATGAAGTTAAGTTGGACATAGAATCCACTGAGCCAGGCCCAAATACCTCATTGGGCTCCTTTTAGGCCTATTAAGACCAATTATACCATTTCCTATATAAGTTCATCAAGCCCATTTCCCGGCTGCCATTCTACTGGAGAGTTAAAAAGTGGAATTTGGTTGCTCTTTTATTTATTTAATTATTTATTCTCTTTATATAATAATTAATTAGATAAATGTGCCTCATGCTAATCCAGCTCAGCTCTGACTGGCATCCCAAATATCAAGCTCACTAGTTTAGATAAGATTCGCAACCAATCTTTGCCAGCTCATCAAACCCTTGGACATATTAAAATAAAATAAAAATCTAATCTCCCACTTTTTTTATTTAATATTAACAAAATTTAATTAAGAATATGAATATGTATTTGATAATTTTGAGATATTTGAACTCATATTTTATCCGATTATTAATAATTACAAAAGAATCAAATTAGAAACTCGATATTTAAATAAAAAATAAATTTAAAATCAGTTAACATATATTATCAACAAAAATTAAATTAATAAATTAAAATTTAAAATATTTAATAAATTATTCAATATTACATTAATTATAATTGATTTACATTAAATAGTAAAACTTAATCCTATGAATTATTATCTAGTCATAAAGCATTCATTGTAATCTTTAAATTTAATAATTAATTCCCTGGCTGCGACACGTGTTCTTTTTTTATATTACAGATTTCTTACACGGCTGAATCTGCTCCTACATAGTCGCGCTTTTGTCCGAACCACAGAGTATCTTAAATATCCTTTTCTTTTTAAGAATAAAATCGTAAAACCGAAAAAATAAAAAAGAAAAAAAGGCCGGAGAATTATGATCGGCAGGAGGATTTTACAAAAGGGAGCATGGAACGCCGGTCGGCGGTGGAATTGTCCTTACATGTCTTCGGCTCCATGTCCGATTCCGGCGGCGGCACCGACGGAGGAGTGTAGACGTCACTTCTCCAGCTACGCTAAGGCGCCGTTTTCATTAACCAATAACCTGGTCAATGTGAGGTTTTTTCTTGTTTCATGGATTCTTTTCTGTTCGAATTCAAATTAAAAGAATTTGGAAATTTCGAAATATTAATACCGGAATTAGTTGCTAATTTGATAGTTTCGTTGAAGTCTTAATTGAATTGTTGCTGTAAACTGTTGAATGGAAATTTGAATAGTTCGATTTTGAAAGCAAATAGCAAAAAGACGAACCAAACGGAGCTGATGACATTCTTTTTATTTATTTTTTAAATATTGTAGTTCTATATCCCATATGTCGTTCAAAGATGTCTGTTTTCGAGTAATGCTGTGGCTGATCTTCCTATGGAGGGAACGGTCGACGTGCCATTGGCGCAAACTGGTGAGGGTATAGCTGAGTGCGAACTTCTTAAGTGGTTTGTTCAAGAGGTGAGTCACGTTGATCCCTGTGTAAGTGTTGACTTTTTTTTCAATGCCATAATGTTCTGTTTTGATTATCTAATTCAAAAGCTCTGTCTTATACATTCTAATGAATACCTTTTGAAATCCTGAAGTTGTTTCTGGATGCTATTGAATGTTGATAGCTTTGTTTCTGGTTAGGGGGATGAAGTTGAAGAGTTTCAACCACTTTGTGAAGTTCAAAGTGACAAAGCAACTATAGAAATTACAAGTCGTTACAAAGGGAGAGTTTGTCACATTCTTCATGTTCCTGGTAGCATTGTGAAGGTGAGAATTAGCTGCTAGTTTCAAGAATTGAGCTTCTTGTATTATAAAATCAATTTGTTGATTATGATTGTAGTTTATTGATTCACACAGCTCTGTGGAATTGAAAATCTTGTCTAATAAGTAAGGTTGCTAGCAAGTGTATTATAAGCTTCAAAGCTACACTTAAATATTATATAAAAATCGAATTCCTGAGTACCTATAGGTGGAAAACATATGGTTCCATTGAATTTCTGGTTTACTGAGGATTTGATAGTGAGGTAGGAATGCTTGAAATTGAATTTAGCTGTGAAAGGAAGGACTCAGATTTGTATGTGTGTGTCTATTGTGATTATTTAGTTTTATCCTTAGAAGTTGTTATTTATGCCATTTTCACCATGAATTCATATGGCACAAGGATATTAATGCTTCCTCGTTTAATAAAATTGCAGGTTGGAGAAACTCTTCTTAAGGTGGTTGTTGAGGAAACTCAGGTTCCTCCAGTAATCCCTGATAATTTAGAAAATGAAAAACCAGTTGATGCTAAACTGAACAAATATAGTACTGGTGGAGTCCTATCAACACCTGCTGTTCGAAGCCTTGCAAAAGAACATGGTATAGACATAAATGATGTCCAAGGAAGTGGAAAAGATGGCAGGGTACTAAAAGAAGATGTGCTTAAATGTGCTATGCAGAAAGGTGTCATCAAAGACCCATCAGTTACCGTTACTGCTACTGCTACTGTTGGAGAGCTGTTACATGGAGAAAAGAGTTGTTCATATGTGTCAGCTGAAGTTGCAGGGCTGTATGAAGATACAATAGTTCCCCTAAGGTATGGGATACGGACATACATGTAAAATTTTTATTTGTGGGATTCAGTGGATATTAAATTACCTAAATATAATCATCATAGACTGAAGAATTTTTCTAATTGGACGTCTTATATATAACTTTATCTATAGTCAGGATGATAAAAATCTGTTAAAAAGAACACCACCACTGTTAGCAATCATGTGTGCACAAGTAGTCGTACTGACGCTAGTCTTGTGAAGTTCCTTTTGTGGTATTAAGTTGGTCAAATGCAAGTCCTTGCATACTTGTGGAAAAGAATTGTTGGCAGGCTGATCAACTTAGTTAAGAGTCAAAAGCATGCTAATGATGGTTTTTTTTTTCAGGGGATTCCAGCGAACAATGGTTAAAACAATGTCCATGGCTGCTAAAGTTCCACATTTTCATTATGTAGAAGAGATTAATTGTGATGCAGTTGCGGAGCTTAAAGCATCTTTTCAAACTAACAATACTGAACCTGGTATAAAGTTCACATTCCTTCCAATATTGATAAAGTCACTTTCAATGGCCTTGAGCAAATATCCCATGATGAATAGTTGCTTCAACGAAGAGTCACTTGAAGTAATCCTTAGAGGTTTGTAGACTTATTCTGACTTTTACTTGTCTCCTTATTGCACGTCTGATGGCCATAACGGTATATTGCTTGTAACTGCACTTCTGATGTGTTGGCTAAAGGGTTATATGTAGATGCTAGGATGAATGGTTTAAAGGGCAAGGTTTCTTTGTCTGGTATTTCTGTCTACCAGTTTGTCATCAGAGGGTCAAGACAAGTGCTCTTTCCAGTCTTTGACCCTCATCTGTTTGTATATGGACTTCCTTTATTTATGAATGAACTCTAACTTTCAAAAAAAAAAAAACTGCATGGAACACATCAGCATTCTACTCATTCTTACTCAGAAATTCATGAATCTTAAAGATTTTTTTTTTTTGAAAATTGTATCTTAAAGAATTATGTTCGATGGAGGTGTATTGCAGCAGTTGTTGCATAGTTGCTATAACTTAAGTGTGGAATTTAAGAACATGTGCTATTTTGACCAGAGGATTGTGTACAAATATGTACAGAAGTTGCATAAAAATATGCATTGTTGTTTCCACTGTGAAAATGTTTCTATGTTTCAGTTGTCAAATACTAATTGCTTCTAGAAAATGTGTTAATCAGTGATAGGTTGCTATTATTTTGAGTGGTTTTAACCCATGATAGGATTCTCTTGGTTGCTTCTCTCCCTGCATTCTCCTGACATGAATCATGGTTATTCTTGTTGATTATTTTAGGTTCCCATAACATTGGAATTGCCATGGCTACTCCATATGGCTTAGTGGTGCCAAATATTAAGAATGTTCAGTCTCTTTCTATCTGGGAGGTTAGTTACGTTTCAGTTCTCATCTGTTTAGGGATACTAATTCTTCTTAATTCCCTCTATCCTTCCTCTTCCCAGAAATTATTTCTCTTTCTTCTTCATAATTGAAGTGTAATATTTAATATTCTCCTTCCTCATCAATCCCTCCCTCCACCAAACCTTTTCCATATTGTCCATAATTCTGGTGATATAAGTTGAAGATGATGAGCTTTTTCTGTATTTTCCTTCTCCTTTACATCAAAGATAGTTCTTCTCTTTATACTTGCTCTCGGCTGTGCTTTTTTATACTCTGTTATATATTTAGATAACCAAGGAACTCTCACGGTTACAACAATTGGCACTGGATAACAAGCTCAGTCCAGCTGATATATCCGGTGGAACAATAACACTAAGCAACATTGGAGCCATTGGTGGAAAGTTTGGTGCTCCCATTCTTAACTTGCCTGAAGTAGCCATCATCGCAATTGGTAGAATACAGAAACTTCCACAATTTGCAGATGACGGAAATGTTTATCCTGTCTCAATCATGACTGTAAGCTTGCAATATACCTATGTTGCTTTCATTTATCCAACATCTCGTAGTATATCTTTTCCCCTGAATAAGCTTAATATGCCATAAGCTTATCTTCGGGGGGAGACGTAATAATCTGATCATATCTCTGACATGATATTCTCCTTGTCAGGCTAACATAGGTGCAGATCACAGAGTTTTGGACGGAGCAACTGTCGCGAGATTTTGCAACGAGTGGAAACAGTTCATCGAAAAGCCAGAGCTCCTCATGCTGCACATGAAATGACTAGGCTTTGACAATTTATCAGCTTCCTCTCTTCTTAACCGTTTCTTCAAAGGGTAAATGCCCTTGTGATAGTAGCAGTTAGCAAGAACCTCAATTCATAGCCAATAAAAATTGTTTCAGAATAAAGATTGAAAATAACTAATAATTTTCTTTAATTCTTTGCAAAATAGTTCATTTTCATAATATGGTCTAGAATTTTATCATCATTTTGCTTTGTAATTTACAGGTTAATTTATTCCCTCCGATTATTTTACTGCAAATTTTGTTTCATAAAGAATAATAATTAAATAATTAATATTTCAGATGTAACAAAAAAATAGCTAAAAATTTTCGCTACTGTCCCCTAGGAGCAATATTATCGCTCAAAAACGCCATCGTTTAATAGGCGACTGGATTTGCTTTTCCTAGAGAAAATTGGGGAAATAACTGAACCGTTTTCAACCGTCAGCAACCACTGAAGAAATCCAACGGCCTAAATTACTTCAATGACAAGCGTCAAAAACCCAATACACTTGATAAACTGCCCTTTCAAAAAATGTCATCACTTCCTTTCCTCTAACAGGGCCAATGGCTCACACTTCTCCCAATCATGGCGGCCGAATTTCACTGCATTTTCATTTTATTCCTCGCATTGTTCTTAACTTCTAGCACGGGTATTCACATTCTTTTTTTTTTTTAATTTATATTCAACAATGAACTGACCATAGACGCGAAGATTTGAGCTTGAGATCTCCAAGTTCTTAGTTCAATTGGTTTTTTTTTTTCTTTTCCTTAATGGAGAGAAATGATCTGACATGTTGCAGAGGAGGCAACAGTGCCAAAGTTTGCATTCTGTTGGTTGGATGACAAGGACACATTCCGAGCTGGAGATACTGCTACCATCAAAATCAAAGTTCTGGGAAACTTTGACAGCAAAGGAAATGCTTCACTTGACAGAAGTGCTTTTAAGCCTGCACTGACAGTGAATGGGAAGACAGGGAATAGTTCTTACATATCTGGTGTTCTTCTAGACACTGCTGGTGATCCGAGTACTTGGCAAATTGTCTTTACCCCAATTCTTGCCGGATTGTTTAATTTGATAATCGATGATGACCCTTTCAAAGTCATGGATTCATCTCTACATTTCACTGTTGAGCCAGGTTTTTCTTTCTTTTTGGTTTGTAAAACGAGGATAATTCACTCCATAGATTGTGAGTAAATGTTTTAACTTCCTACTTTCTGTTTTCTGATTCAAAGGGTCAATGTACCCTTCTGCCAGTGTTGCTTCCTGGTTGGGCTTCCTGAATGAATTTGAAGCGGGTTCAAAGGCTCCACTTTTGATTCTTCCTAAAGATGCATTTGGAAATAACGTTTCTTCAACTGACAAAGAACTGAATTCTTATAACATTTCAATGACTGCTCTCCATGAAAATGGCTCCATTGCAACTATGGTAAATATCACTAAAATGGGTTGGAATGAATTTGGATATATCATTGTGGAGTTTATGGCAGTGAAAGCAGGAAACTTCTTGTTACATATAGAAGGGGAAAACCAAATCTTGAATGGCTCTCCACTACCATTCAAGGTAAATCCAGGTGATTTGATTTTACTTATGATGGAATTTACTTATACTAATAGAAATGCAGTGTGAGGATCATTCAACATGTGTATATGAGATGAATAACCTCATTCAAATTTTGAACCGACCTTTGCAGGACCTCTAGATGTCTCTAATTGTGTGGCCAAATGGAAATTTGAATTCAATGCGTGGAAAATCTTTTCTAAGATGGAAATACTCATATACCAGCAAGATCAGTATGGAAACCTTGTTCCTGGCTTGTATGAATTTGATGCTGACGTTATAGAGAAAGAGACAAACCTGTCTATACCTGTAGGAGATTTGCAATTTGAAGAAGTAGAGCCTGGGATTCAGCTGTTTTCTTTCGGCATGTCTGAACTGGGGAATTTCTTGCTCACGATTTCTGATATGAAGCACAATAAAAGCATTGTAAATATGCCATATGCTTATACTGTCTTTGCAGGTGCGTCAGATAAACCTTCATACAAAAACATTTCGGTATTAGGGTTTTGCACTTCTCATGTCCTTGCCATCATGTGCCCTTGTGAACAATAATTTATGAACATTGGTGGTTAAGTTCTACTTATTCTTCTGCAAAATCTACATCTTCTTATGTAAGCATTGTAAAAATCAATGGTCATGCTGCTTGAACCTATAAAGGTTGTGCATTCTACATCTTCACGACAGATGCTGTTTCATACTCTAAATCTGAACAGGTTATTGTGATGGATTCAAGAGTTCCGTCAATGGGACTGGTTTAAATACTTCCGTTGCTGGGGAAATGGCAGAGTTTTCAGTTTATTTAAGTGATGCTTTCCAATATCCCTCCCCAGTGGAAGTAGAAAGACTTCAAGTAGAAATCAAAAGGGAAATTGATTCCTGTTCTGTGTTGCCTACCATATATCCTACACAGTTCAGCAATGGTATGCACATTGGAATTCATCAACCTTTTGGTTTTTCCTTTCATATATAGTGTTAGGCCCACGATTTGACCAGTAAGCACATAACTGAAATAGGGAATAAATATACAGGAGAATTACTTGAGGATGTTATAACCGAAACTGAATTTGCTCCTGCTCCATCTATTGGCCTGAATAACACTGTAAGAAGGGTATTTGCTTGTAGCCTTTGGATTGTTTGACTTGAGATTTTAATGACATTTTGGTTTTTGGAAAACAGCCTCCTGAAAGCTTGAAAATTCAGGCCAGTGCATTCAATGTCATGTATACTCCTGAAAAGAGTGGGATCTACAAAATTCATGTACTCTGTGGAAATATTATCCTGAATGGTGGTATTCCATTCACAAAGGAAGTAAAAGCAGGTTTGCACCCAAATAAGATATACAGCTTGGCACCTCTCTTACTGTTGCATCCTGAATTTTTGGATAGTAGATGATATGAACTTCTACTTACACATCTCTTAGCTTCACATTTCCTTGGTGACTAATGCTTTGATAATTTTCGACAGGTGAGGTTAATATATCACTCTCAGGAGTTGTAAGATTTTCTCCCAAGGCACCAAAGCTCGTTAGAAATGAAATAGTAGTACAGCTGAGAGATTCTTTTTCCAATCCCGTCGTTTCAGAACAGTCAAAGCTAAGTCTAGAGCTTGTTTCAGTTAACAAGACAGGTTTCTCAAGTTGGATGTTTGTGGATAACAATGATGGTTCATACACAGGTCACTATCTTGCCATGGAAGTGGGCACTTATGAGATGTGTGTATCATTTGACAGAGCGCATTTCTCGCCCTGCCCTTTTGAGATCAATGTGTATGGAAGTAAGTTAGTATTTCTGTGACGTATATAATCCATATGATTCATGATTTTTCCAAAGCATATGATGGTACTCTCTCTATTTCAAATGCCTTGCAGGTGAATATTTTCCTAAAGCATATGATGATACAATCTCTCTTTGGGAGGATGAGTCAATTTCTTTTGATGTGTTAGGAAATGACTACATCGCTGGTGTCAATGCGAGCATTGTTGAATTCTCAAAAGTAAGAGTAAAAGTTGAAGCAAGTTTCGATGACCTTTTCCCTCCAACCTCTCCCTTATCTTTCTTTATCCTAGGAGAAAGAGAATTGTTTCTATTTAATATACCGTCCTACACTAATGTATAGTCTTTGATGATTGAATGCTATATTGAGGATTATATATTTTTTCAGCCAGGTCATGGTTCACTTCTACAGTATGGAAGGCTCTTTAGATATACACCTTACAAAGATTATTATGGGAATGATTCCTTTCTGTATACTATATCTGACATAAATGGCGAACTCGCTACTGCTGCTGTCAACATTTCTGTACTCACTATCCCACCTCAGTTCGTTTCTTTTCCAAGTCAATTGCAGGCAGTGGAAGATGCGATAAGTCCCAGATTTGGGTAAGGTATTTGCTTGTCTTGAATTATTTCTTGCCATTGCCAATATTTGTAAGGCTCATATCATTGTGTTTACTTTCATTTTCTTTCACATGATTGAATCTTTACTCTTTGCAGTGGTTACTATGGATTTGAAATGAAATATTCAGATCCAGTGGAGAATATCTCTGTCATTCTCAGTGCCAAGTCTGGGAAAGTATTCCTGTCACCCATGCCGATGCAATTCTGGCAGCCAATATGGAGTGAACTTTCTGTAAGTAAAGGGGATGAGGAAGGAAAGAATTTGACCATAGAGGGACGCCTGGAAGCAATAAATTTTGCCCTTCAGTCTATTCAATATCTTGGGTACTAATCACTAAATTTAATCTTTTCCCCTTAACTGAAGGATATAAGTAAATTTCTCTCTCACTTCAATTGGTTTGCTTAAATAAGGAAGGAGAATTTTTCGGGTGTGGACACCCTTCGAGTTTCTGCCAGGAACAGAAACGGGGTCAATGACTTGGATGTTCCAGTTCTGGTGGAGCCCATTAATGATCCTCCATATGTTAACGTTCCTGAATTCATCATATTGAAGAGCACTAGGGCTGAATCTTTGTTGTTTAACAAAGAAACAGATAAGTTTCAGTTTTCTATCGGAGATCCAGATCTTCTTAACTTCCCCGGTAAGTTCAGAAACGCATGAAGTGGGACTTCTATAGCTTTGAGGAGTTGAATATATATTGGCAGCAGCAGTCCTTTGTTGCTTAATCATGCAACAATCTTGCACAGAACCACTTAAAACGTTAACATTCTGCTGGTGAATAAAATTTCAGGAGGTGAGTCTGGCTTTCTGCTCACATTTTCAGTGGAAGTCAGTGATGGGTTTTTGCTAGCAACTCTACCAGCTGCCCTTATCGATTCGACTGAACTGAAGCTGAAGAGTACTTATCAGTGGCAACCTCTTCAGACATATGTTACCATCTCAAAGCATTTTAAGGTCAAAGCTATAGGAATAAGATTCCGAGCATCACTTAATGATTGCAACACTGTCATGGAACAACTGGCCTACAATGTAAGTTAAACTTGTTTTGTTGCAGACTTGATTGCAGTATTCACATTCTGCAGTTGCATGAAAGGATTGAACTAATCATGTCATCCTTCAGGGTGGAGAGCATGGCGCTGCTTTAACTGTGGAAATAAGTGATTTGGGCCACTATGGATGTTATCTAGATTGTGCTGAAAGGGTATCGAAGCCTTTGTGCGCTGAGGCCACTGTAAACCTAATTAGAGGAAGGCCAATGAGCTCCTTGCTAGTTCGTAGTAAGTTGTCTGAATTAACAAACAACTTTCATCTTTCCAACATTTACCGTTCAAGTTACACTCTTGCTCCAGTATATAACCAGGGCACCTTTCAAAAAAAAGGGTTAATAATCAGAGTTTACATGCTTGACTTTGCGGTGACAGCCATAGGATCAGCTATATTCATTGAATTCCTTTCGTTACTTTCACTTGGATCGGTGCTTCTCTTCTTCACATGCAAATGTGCAATTCTTCTTGTCAACGAGAAAAGGCCACAGAATCCCAGAAATTCCGAGCCGTCTAGAGTGCAAAGTTCCCAGCAAGAAACTGTAAGCATGCATGCCTCGAGAAACCAACATGTCTTTCTGACTATGCTTCATTACAACCGCTATGTAGCCTTGTCCTTCAGCAACAAAGTTTATTTATTCTTATTATCACAAGAAAAGATTCAGATTGCCCTTTGCAAAATCAAATTTTGATTGTAGAAATTTTCCTGCTTCATGTGCAGTTAAGTACAAATTCAGCAGAGGATGCGATTCACTTCACAGGGTGTTGTTGCTCAAGCCCCCTTCTTACACAGCAGCCGTTTTTCACCTAGTCCTTAAACATTAACTAATGTTTGACATATGTTTATTGATGTTGACATTAAAAATCTGGAACAAATTTCTTCCTTGTATAACAGTAATTCGCTAATTTCTTTTTAATTGTACATAATTTACTCGTTTACTTTACTACCAGTATCTTTCCCTAGAAAGGATAATTTTTTGGTATGGGGGCGGATAAAAAGGTAATTTTATACTGAAAAGATGATTATTGCAGCCGTCGTTGCTCGTTACATACGTAGCTCAGTCGGTAAGTGAGAGCTGTCCATTGACGACCGTGTTGCTCTTTGCAAATCTCTGACGAAAAAGGAAAGCATGGCGGCTGCGGCATCGTTGCAGAATCTCCTGAAAGTCGGGACTAAAATCGTCGCCGTCGGTCGCAACTACGCAGCTCACGCCAAAGAACTCGGGAACGCCGTACCCAAGGTATCGAATTTTCGTTTATTGTCTTATTCGTAGAGCAGATTTGATCTGTTTCCGATTTCGGATTCAAATGAAGGTGGGGTTGTGTTTACCAGGAGCCGGTTTTGTTTTTAAAGCCGACATCTTCGTATTTGGAAAATGGAGGTACAATCGAGGTTCCGCACCCTTTGAATTCCTTGGATCATGAAGTTGAGCTTGCTGTCGTGATCGGACAAAAGGCTCGGGATGTGCCTGAAAAGACTGCCATGAATTATGTCGGAGGTAATTTCGAATCAGTTCTATCTGATAAGAACGACATGTCTCGTTTCAGTTTAGACTACTCAAGTAATCTATATGGTTTTGTTCCTTTTTTCTTTTTCCTGGTAGAACTCAACATGGGTTTCGATTAAACACTGTTTGGTGCTGTTTTCTGGGGTAAAGGTAAAGCTTTGGAACTAATGATCGCAAGATGAGAGTGGCTTTAAGAACTTGAGAGCCCCATTTTTGTGCAAAAAATATGATAAAAGAGTAGAGGAATTTGCTTTTCATCGTCCTCAAGATCCCACATTTGTTGTGAGATGATAATTGGTCCTACAGCAAACTTCAATTTAGATGTGCTTATTACTATTTATCGGGTATACGGGTAATTCGATTAGAAGCTTTAGTTTGCTATCCTAATATTTTGCCATAGTTTTTTCTTGATTGCTTCTGTTATGACTTGAAGGGGAAACATTGGATGCTGCCACATTTCCTTTTTTTTTTTTTTTTCTTTCTTTCTTTCTTCTTCTTCTTCTTCTTCTATTTTTGTTTATTGTGGTTCATGAGCAATCTACATAGATTGTGATGATGATCAATTTGATGTTGAAAATGGCCGCTTTTGTCTGCTTCAGGCTATGCTTTAGCACTGGATATGACTGCAAGGGAAATCCAATCTGTTGCAAAGGTACAAATATTATTCATATGAGCTCTTGTGTACATTTTTTAAAGCATTATTACTTCACATGAGAACCTGGTTGCCTTTACATGTTCTCTAATTTCATTTTTGGTGGCTGTTTTACTCCTTTAACTGATCAATGAATGAAGTACATAATTTAGAGGAGAAATCATTCAGCTTAGATGAAACACCAGAAGTTTTTCGAAATTCATTCTCTGATAGAGAGTATTTGAAAGTGAAGTTTTTTCTGGGATGCTTGCAGCACCATGTTGTTGCAGGATCGATGGAAGGAAAAAAGCTCGTAAGATAAACCATCATCATTTATCGTGGATCTTTAAGTATATGTTCATTTTTACTTTTGAGAACAAGATATTTATTTCTCACGTGTTCTTTCAGCTTTCCATGATTCAACTCTTATCATTTGAGTTTTTTTTTTT